CAAACAACAATGACGGCTGCAACCAAAAAATAGCTGGGTGTTGTGGTGGGCGCCTGTGGTCCCAGCTACTTGGGAGGCTGAGACAGAAGACTCGCTTGAGCCCAGGAGTTGGAGGTTGCTGTGAGCAGTGAAGCCATGGCACTCTACCCAGGGGGACAGCTTGAGGCTCTGTCTCAAAAAAAATAATAATAAAAAATTAAAAAAAAAAACCAAATGGCTCACTGCCCACAAAATCCTGCTGCACGTTACACAAAATAGTCATCTTTACAACCACCTGTGTGGGCAGGAGCATTAGGTGTGGGTTCAAGGATATGGCCACCACAGCAAACAGGGCCTTGTGAGGAAGAAAAGACGGGACATAAAAACTGTCAATATGCCATAATTAAATAAGTATTTGAGATATTCTATTTTTCTTGCATTAAGAGTGTGCATGACATTTAACAGTGTGCAATTACAAAGAAAGACCTACATCTTGCAAACCCTCCAAACTCCATTTTATCTCAGTGTGGCTCATGGGGACACCCTTGGGCCGCAGCCCCAAGTGGCCAACTTACCACTCTTTCTGCACGGCTGGGCAGCACCACACTGGCCAGAGGGATGCTGACAGGAAGCTTGCTGGGCTGTACTGTGCTCAGCGGGATGCTGACGGGCAGGCTAGTGATAGCCTCCCCACTGCTGCCATACGCTCGCTCCTTTAGACCCTGCAGGCAGAGCACAGGCAGCCACATACATCAGCAGGACTCAGGCCATGGCATAGTCATCAACACATGGGAGCCCCCAACCATGGGACCATAACAGGATAGCCCCTCTGGGTTCCCTGCTGGAGCCCCCTGGATGTCAAGGCGCCCTTAGTTCTTCCCCATGGACTCAGGGCCTCTTGGAGGCTGCAATGGAATGTTTTAGAGCAGTGTTTTTCAACCTTTTTTAATCTCATAGCATACCTGAACTATAGTTAAACTCCCATGGCACACTTAAATATATATATTTTTAACGTTTCTTTTGGCTCGGCGCCTATAGCTCAGCCGCTAGGGTGCCAGCCACATACACCGGAGATGGCAGGTTCTAATTCAGCCTGGGCCTGCCAAGCGACAATGACAACTACAACAAAAAAATAGCCAGATATTGTGGTGGACGCCTATAGTCCTAGCTGCTTGGGAAGCTGAAGCAAGAGAATCACTTAAGCCTAAGAGTTTGAAGTTGCTACGAACTGTGACACCATGGCACTCTACCAGGGTGACAGCTTGAGACTCTGTCTTTAAGAAAAAAAAAAAAATTATTTATTTATTTTTATCACTTGGGTTTCATTCAGGGTACAAAGAATTAGGTTATACTGATTGCAGTTGTGAGTTAAACTCCTTCTTATGTCCAACCCCTGCACACTTAAATATTTTTGATCAAAAAATAGAGTAATACCAGGCAAGGTGGCTCACCCCTATAATCCTAGCACTCTGGGAGGCCAAGGTGGTGGATTGCTTGAACTCAGAAGTTTAAGACCAGCCTGAGCAAGAATGAGACACTAGCTGGCCATTGTGGTAGGCACCTGTAGCCCCAGCTTCTCGGAAGGTTAAGGCAGAAGGATTGCTTTGAGCCCAAAAGTTTGAGGTCTCTGTGAGCTATGATGCCACGGTACTCTACCCAGGGTGACAGATTGAGACTTTGCCCGAAAACAAAAACAAAAACAAAAACAAAAACAAAACAACCTACTTGCTGCGCTTTGAACTTCTTTCAACAAATATTTAATTAGCGGCCTCTTAAAATTTTCATGACACAGCTAAGATCCCTTCTCAGAACACCAATGTGTCACTGGAAATCACTGTTTTGGCTCGGTGCCCATACATAGGTCAGTGGTTAGGGTGGAACCAGAGCTGGCAGGTTTGAACCTGGCTAGGGCCTGCTAAACAACAATGACAACAACAACAAGAAGAAAACAGCTGGGAATTGTGGCAGATGCCTGCAGTCCTAGTTACTTGGGAGGCTGGGGCAAGAGAATTGCTCAGCCCAAGAGTTTGAGGTTGCTGTGAGCTGT